CTCCCCCCTGCAATAGGCTTTGATGTAAAACAGATAGATAAATGCGTTGGAGATCATGAAGCAGATGTTGACAACCCTGTTCTAAAGGCTGAACAAGAAGCGCAGGTATGTGTCGGGGAAAAAAACAAATGATAGGAAAGCTCTATTTTTAACCTCCTCGACCGTATTGTTTCTGATGGATTTTTTTGAATTGAATTTTTACTTTGGCGTTACTACTTTCAGATTGGCAAGGACTCCCGTGGAGATGTGACTATCTTGCCAACTCTTGTGATTAACAACAGACAGTACAGAGGTATGACTCATAGAATATAAGTGAGAAGGTGTATCTTGTCTAAATAAAAGAGATTTTCATTTTTTAGTGTTATCATCTTTATAGGCAAGCTGGACAAGGGAGCAGTTCTCAAGGCTATTTGTTCCGGTTTTGAGGAGACAACAGAGCCTGCAATTTGTTTAACCGATGGTCATTTCCTTTTAATCCTCTCTTTTTGCTTTGAAGACATTATAATTGCACCAATAGTCGTGCTTGCATACTTTTTTATGCATTTAATCATTTTTATAAATTGTGGAATCACACTTGTTCTTTTTTTAAAAAAGAAATTTCAAAAGTCGAGTCATTTTTCTGCATTTCCACCTCCAAAAGCACACGACTGATTCTTGCAGATCTGGCCCTAGCTTATCCGACATATTCCAACTAATAATTTTGCTGATACACAAAACTTAGCTATTATTGCTTGGTAAACAATTACTTTGGTCGATATAGCCTTCACGACGAGCTGGTACATAATCTCTATGGTCTCCAGTAAGGTGGTATTCACAAGTTGTTTTACACTTCTCAGACATACAAACAAATGAGTGCTTAGAGTCAAATGGTGGGTGCTGGCAGGACAAGGCTGCTAACATTACTGCATGCCGGGTATTCAGTCATTTTTCAGTTGATATGATAGAATAATTTTGCATCTTTCCATCTAATTTAGTGCTAGCTAATTTCCTATGCCGTGAATTTAACTTATGCTGCAGGATACTTTCCGTGGGAAAGTATGTGAATGCCCAATGGTTCAGGGAGTAAAATTTGTTGGTGATGGTTATACTCAATGTGAAGGTATATAAGAATCTATGTTCAAAATCTTGGTCATATAAATACACTGCTCAGACGCATGAGCATTGTCCTCAGAGGCTTAATCTTTTGCGCTTTTGGTTTGACAGCATCTGGAGCATTACGCTGTGGAATAAATAATGGAGGTTGTTGGAAGGGAACCAAGGACGGCAGGACATTTTCTGCTTGCATAGTAAGAGGCTGCATTCAAGCATAATTACCTACCTCTTGAACTTTACTCTTCGGCATTCCCCTTCTTTTATGAGGGTTGCTTACCCCCTTCCTATCTTCTGGTTTTACTGAAGCAGCGGATTGGAATATGAAATGTTCTTGTTTCTTAATTTTATTAGAGAATTGATGCTAGAAAAATAATTTTTCATCTTTGAATTGCCCCCTTCTTTTTTGGCTCTTACAGGTTCTAACTTTACTGGTTTTACATGAGTTATTCTTTAGACGAGTTTCCTTGTGTCTCAATTTCATTCTGTGAACCGGGAAACTAAACGTTTTTCCTTATCTTGTTAGGATGACCACACAAAGGGTTGTAAATGTCCACCAGGATTCAAAGGAGATGGAGTGAATAGTTGTGAAGGTACAGAGAATCTATTATTCATTATATATCTTTTTTTTGAAATTTGCTGCTGTTAGCATTTGTGGAATAAATCGGGGTTGTCAGTTGTTAGAATCTTCTTAACTCTCATCTACTTGAGGATTTAGATCTCCGTTCTCTTTGATTGCAACAAAAAGTTTTCCACTTCCTTTTTCTCTGTAGAACCGTCATCTAATTTTCCATCCTAGAAAAACATTATCCTGTATATGCCCATAGAGATGTAAAGGTAGGAATAGTCTTGCTTTTTATTTAGTACTCCTCTGTAGCATCTTATGTGACACGCTTTCCTTTTTCGTCTGTCTCGAAAAAAATGACACCCATCTCTTTTTTTGAAATTGTTAGAAGTTTTATATTCTCATTTTACCCTTAAGGACATGACTTGTTGGGACCACGTGATATAAACATTCATTCTTGATTGGGATAGAGAAAATTAAAAGATTTGGAACTCTCACCATTACTCAATTAAAAGGATAATTTGATAATCTGCATATATTTGTTTACATGTTAAAAGGCTTCTTTAATTTTCTTAAGCTCTATGCCCAATCAAACGGTTTACATAAAATGGGACAGAGGGAGTACCGATATGGCTAATATTTTGATGAGATCCGAGTTTTTATCTTTTTGCTCTTTTGCAGATATTGATGAATGCAAAGAAAGGCTAGCATGTCAGTGCCCAGAGTGCAAATGCAAGAATACATGGGGTGGTTATGACTGCAGTTGCAACAGCAATTTGTTGTACATGCACGAACATGACACGTGTATAAGTGAGTTTGAAGTTTTTATATTGATGGAAATATGTTTTTAACGATGGATGAAGCTAGTTAAATGTTTTATAATATGATGGTTGTGATGCTAAATTAGCTTCTTTATCTGTAACAGAATTTCACGAACAGCTTTGAGCTACTGTGGTTTCAAAATCCGATATAGTTTGATCTCTTAACTTTTTTTGAAAAAAGATGCAGGCAAGGATGTTAAAACAGAATTTAGCTGGGGCCTTGTTTGGGTTATCATCTTGGGTTTGGCAGCTGCAGGAGTTGGAGCATATGCTGTGTACAAGTATAGGATCCGGGTATGTCATGTTAATTTGTTCTTAATTCATCATTTTTGGTCAACAATGACCTTTGGGTTTGGGATACAGAACAGTGTCAAAAGTTGGAAATCTAGTGCTAACCCAGAGTTAGTTTACCGGAGTGTACATGTATCCACCTATAATGCTCTCTTTGAATAATTGTCCACCTTGAGAGTTTCTGAGAAGAAATCTAAGGAACAGGATTCCACCAGATAAAACCAAGATTAACTTCTTTTGGAGCCCAATATGACAAACAACTTAGAAATGTCGTGACATATTTATTTCACACTGGAAAAGTCATTACATGTTCATTCGGGTCTTACTCTGTGCGCTGCAACAGCCATATCCGTGGCATGTTCATCAGTTGTTGATCAAGTGTTCTTTTTCCCTTTTTTCTGCCTCCCCTGGAATTTTAATCATCAAATCAGTTTATGCAGAAATATGTGGCCATTGCCTTAAGTGCAGTTTTATCTGTGTTCTAGGCTTCTGGTTCATGTTATGTTCTTTCCAAGTGTATGTAACCAGAAAACCTATTCATATGCAGAGATACATGGATTCAGAGATCCGCGCCATCATGGCGCAGTATATGCCTTTGGATAATCAAGGAGAGGTGCCTAATCATGTTTCCCACGGAAATGTCTGATAATAGTCGTCACTGAAGAATGATTGCGCGGGTAGAGTGTAACATCAAGTGATGTCGCGATCAGCTCTTTTTTTCAGTTGGCATGCGGTTCTTTTGTGCTTGTGTCATTCTACTGCAACTCTCACTGTTGGTGAGGTCCTATTTATGTATATGTTCCATCCTAACAATACAACATAAACTCCCAATTATGATAGGGGAAATTTTCTGTAGTGGGGTATGCACAATGGTCTTTCACTTTGGACACAAGCTTAATGAAGGGTGAAATTTTTTAGGAACAAAATTTATGCCACTTTAGAGGGAAAATGACGACTTTCCCTGATAATTTGCCGCTTTAACGGGGGATTAGGTTTACATGTTATGCGGTGAATAATAATGAAGGGGTTATTGTTTGGTGAGTAAAAATGCAGAAATTATTATGTGATGATTAATAATGAAATGATATGCAGGGATTATTTACTTTAAGGCCGTTCTTGTTTTTAAATAGTAATTCTCATATTTCTGATATATGTATTCTTGATTTATATTCTATCTCGCATAAAATAAGACATCAATTTTCACATAACTTAATACCGTATTGAAACGTTGCAATAGTTAATGGAGATCACTTTTTTCCTATGTGCTACAACAACAATAAACTTGGTGAAATTTCACAAGTCTGGGGAGAGTATTGTGTACGTTAGGGGTGTCAATGGATATTCAAAAGGAATTTTTATATTCCTATGCCATATAGAAAATTAATGTTTAAGGTTTGATATAATTACACTTAGTATATCTAATTACCAATTATATACCATTAGTGGTTTTTAAGGGTATTAATTACACTCATAATTTAATGGTACTGTATATTCCTTCTAATACCACTTCCCCCACGTTTCTCTCTCCACTTCCCACACCTTCACCCACGTTCTCTTTCCACACCCACGATTTCTGTATCAAAATCCCATTATTTCTTCCATAGTCAAGGCTTTGAATTCAAATTTGGGTTTTCAAAAGACATTGTTTGTTTGGATTGGATGTTATTGCAAAGAATTGAGAATTCTCTCTACGTCTCTCTCTATCTCGTAATCCCAAATTTCAATAATATAAGAGGAAAGGAAAAGAGAGCAGCAATTCCACCATTGACAGCCATTAAAAAGCTTTGAAGCTTTGAATTCTAATTTGAGTTTTCAAAAATCATTATTTGTTTGGATTAGGTCTTGTTGTAAATAATTGGGAATATGGTTTGGAGTTTATATCTCAATTTTGAGGGGTTTTGGTGAAGATTAGACTTGATTTTGGCTGAATTTCAGATTGAAACTCGAAGAAGAGGACGACATGACATACATTATATTGCAGAAATTGTAGATAAATTGTAGAAAAATTGTAGACTGTTGTTTATTTATTTTTGAGCTTTGTGTTTTTGTGTTAAAAGTTTTGATGGGAGCTTGTTATTCCACTTCGTCTGTTTTGGAGCTAACTTGTGCAGAGGAGAAGATGTTTTTTAAGTTATATATATTGCTATACCTTTAAATTCAAGAAAGTATAGTTGTATTGTATTTAAAGAGGCGTGAATTTGTAGAATAAGTTGAATATGAGGAATGAGTCAAATAAGACTCACAATGGCTTATTTTCTACATTTAATCTACAACAAAACTACATATCATTTGAAAAATTAATATGAAAATACAGAATTTCAATGTTTCTACAAATTATCTACAAAATTTCTTAGGAAGATCTATCCATTCATCATGTTTTTTTGGATTCCATATTTAGCATAACAGTTTCGTAAGGAATAACAAGAACATATAGGAGAATCATAGAAATTGTAGCATAATCGGGATTTTCGACATAATACAAATAATCTATAATTTATCGACAAAATATCTACAAACTGGGTACATTGAATTTTAATATCCCAATTCCCATTCAGTTATAGTATAATTGGGATTTTTGACATAACTGCGTTTTCGCAGAAGATTTGTAGAAGTTTTAGTAGTTTTTTATTTGTGAAAAAAGAAAATAAAGCATCTACAATCAGAATACAAATAATCTACAATTTATCTATAAAATATCTACAAACTGGGTATATATTTGGACTCGACATGATTCCCCTGAAATGTATGTTTCACATTTTTGATATATATTTTTGTCCAAAACAGTACTAAATCATCCACTTAAATACAATTTTTATACAATGTTGTTCAAATTTTATACAATAGGTAAATGAATAAAAGAAAAATAAATAAACAACAGTCTACAATTTTTCTACAATTTATCTACAAATTTTTTATAATTAACTCCTCAAAATTGAGATATAAACTCCAAACCATATTCCCAATTATTTTCAACAACACCCAATACAAACAAATAATGATTTTTGAAAATTCAAATTTGAATTCAAAGCTTTTTAATAGATGTCAATGGTGGAATTGCTGCTCTCTTCTGCAAAAAACGCAATTATGAATGTGCTTGATTATGTCGAAATACGCAAATCTTCTGCAAATTCGCATAAAACAGAGTGTATACAAATCTTCGGTGTTATTCGACATAATTGCGTTGTTCGACAAATTCACATAAAACAGAGTGTATCACGCAGATTCACATACAGAGTGTATCGCAAAAACAGAGTATGGAAAATTTGAAACGAAGCCGACGATAATTATGAATGTGCGTGATTTGTGTTGTGGAAGATCTGAAAGAATATTTAATTCCTCAGTTTTAGCGCGCCAAAATAAGGAATCCTACAACTACAATGATTCCTTATTTAATGCATTGTCTATATTTTGTAGAAATACTATTAGCATGAAGGGTAATATGCAAACTATGAACATATTTGGTAATATAGTTTTCTATATGGTATAGGAACGAAAATTTCCCTATTCAAAAACCGACTAAACCGATCGAACCGTATTGTACCGAATTGATTTTTAAATTTCTTTTAATAAAGCCGAAGGTTTTTATATAAATCTATAACCGTACCGATAACTAGGGTAGGTTTTTANATATATATATATTAAGTTTAAAAATAGTAAAGTGCTAAATTTTTCCTTGGCCTTGGAATCGTAAAAACAGTTATAAGCTGACAAGTAATTAAAAATCAAAATCCTAATCCCAAATCTATTATGGTACTCCTATTGAAATTAAATTATTTTCAGTATATTCACTAGCAAGACACAAGATATTCTAGTGATTATGAGTAGTAAACTATAATATACTGAACATATTTCCTTTCGTATGATTTAGATTTTTTTTTTTTTTTTTTTTTTTTGAATATTTGATCTTCCAGTGAAACTACAATATATACATGAATACATGATTTTTTGAATTGCAATGTATACATGATTTTTTTTTGAATATTTAATCTTCCATAGACTTTATTCTTGAGTCCCAGCTTGGTTAATATCTTTTCACACGTGTGATTATATTTTTTTGTTTTTGCTTAGTTTCTTTTATGCTATTGTAGAATAGTTGATAGATCTAACTCTAGCCATCTTTCACGTTTTCTTAATTCATTATCCTTTGAACAGTAAAAATGTCTAGAGAATTTTGTTAAGTCCTATAAAAGTACGTCTGTTATTACATTCTACTTCTACTAGTGAGTTTTACATGACAACAACAACAACAACAACAACAACAACAACAACAATAACGACCCAGTATAATCCCACAAGTGGGGTCTGGGGAGGGTAATATGTACGCAGACCTTACCCCTACCCCGAAGGGTAGAGAGGTTGTTTCCAGGAGACCCTCGGCTCAAAAAGCAACAGGAGCCGATATATTAGTACCATAAAAATGCATAATAAAATAACAGCAGTATAAGAGATATGAAATATGAAATACAGAATACGAAATACGAAATAGATGGCTGTAACAACGGTGAGTTTTACATGACTTTTAATAAAATACCGAAAATTAACTGAACCGTACCTATACCGAAGAGAAATCGACATGACTGGGACGGTTTTGAAAAGTCTAACTTTGGTTATACATAATAGAATAATCGAAAAATTGGTGTGGTGTAAATTTTATAAAATAACCGACCAAACCATTGACACCCCTAGTGTACTCAGGCATTACCCTTACCTTATGAAGGTAGAAAAGCTGTTTCTGAAAGATCCTCCGCTCCTTATATGGTGATTTTTATTTTTTATTTTTTATGCTGGAAGTAATTATACTAATACAATCAACTAAAAAATATTTAAAAGTAAACATTCTGTCCGCAAAATAAACTATATTATAGAGCTCAACTTCAAGGTTATTTAGATCAAGCACCATGACTGCTTGTCTGCTTGGTAAAACATTAAAGCTGATCAAGGAGTCAAAACAAAGAAATGTGGCATTTCTATATTGGAGTTTTAATTTTTTTTTTCCCAGTTACACTCAATTTCGATGAAGAGATTGCAAAAAAGTTTATATTATGGTAGTCAATGGCTAGACAAACTCTGAATGGGTAATACAAAACCTGCTCATAAGCTGAAAAACACATTATTTTCGCGATGAAAAGTTGGGATAATCCTACTAATAATTGGTATTTAGACTCCTATGCCACACCATTGATCAAGATTGAATTCCAAAATATAATGTCTTTTTTCGTTCAAATAGCTTTATTGTACTGATTGATTGCTATTGTGCTGTATTAATACAAGCGATTTACAGCTCCAGGCAATGAAATAAATTTTCATCTACCACTTAATATATTAGTGAAGACCATTTTAACAACTTCCTTATCCTATGGTTCATCAATATTTCAAGAGTAGCCATGTCAAACGTGTGATATTAGTATTAAAAAGTACTGGGTATTTTATACAATTTTTTTATAAAAAAATATATTAAAGAATTAGCAACATAACGTTTCTTCACGTCTATATATCATGTTATACACAGCACATCAGGTCTTTAAAGATGTGCTTTCTCTAATCTAGAATACAAGGATGATTCGGTATTACACTTCAATGAAAGTTTACTTATAACGAAGATAATTCAGAATTAACTCAGTTCCGTTATAAACTACCAATAGATACTAGATAACACGTGTAGCAAATATTGTCAAAAATTTTCAATGTTGAAAAACATTTAAATAAGTCAATGCCAATGAATTTGGTGCTCATCTGTCCATCAACAAAAGTAATTATCTAATCTAATTAAAGTTTTACACGAGTTATTACTTAATTACTAAGAACCTTAAATGTGGTTAAGATGTCAAGAGATTCTCTCAACAAAGAACCACACGCTGTGGTCCATACAATTACAGTCTTGCTCTTGAATACAGTGTCACAATTTATACACAGGATAAATATTTAACAAAATACACTAACCTACAACTCATTATTTCAATGTTAGTATATATAAGTACAATGTTACACATCCATCTTTTGAAGGAATTAATGTAATCAGATGTAGGTTGTATTAGGAACCATCCTCAGAAGAGTTTTTATCAGGCGTCGAGGCATGTTTCCTGTTAACAAAGTCCAAGTACCCCTGCCACAAACCATCACAATTGTTGTATTACAACATGCAAAGTCTTCACTAACACCAAATTATGCTCTTTTTTCCCCAGAGAAGGGGCAAAGCTAATCCTGAAATGAATCTAACTGAAAAGGGACGCTAAGACTTTATCGAATCGTGAAAAATATATTGCAACTCTAGTTTGAACTAATGAACTCTTTATTAGATGTAAATGCTAGCCTAACAATTTGACTGCCCCAAAGAAGAAACACCAAAAACAAAAGGAGCTAAACAATTATGGACAAAGATCTGCCTCAGTTACTCTAGTTACTTAAATAAATATGAAAATAAAATAAAATCTAATCTTAGTTGAAAATAAGCGGAGACTATTACAGCTATGAATTACAAGATAAATTTATTTTTGTACAAACAATACTAATTTTCTCTAATGAGGCAAAAGTTTTTTTCGACAATTTCAGCCAGAAGTTATCCGAGTAAGAAGGAACTTGTCTAAGTGTTGCAAAGGAACATACTTCTTCAGTGAAGTAAACTATGAACTTGTCTAAGTGTTGAAACGGAACTATACAGATGGGGTAAGATCTTTTATTACCTGAAGTATTCCGACTGCAGCAAATTTGTCTAACATCGTCTTCGTCTGTGCTGGGTGCAACTTTAAAGGTTGTAGTAACAGTTCAACATTCTGAAAGCAAAACAGAACATATAATTGTTGGTCATTTCGAATTTGAAAGCAAAAGCTTGCTTATAGTTATTTAAAGTGTCATACTGTGGTAGGCCTAAATCCTTCTTTTACATGCAACTATAAGTTAACATTAAAATAACAAACGAAGATTTAAGCTCAGTTATCGTCCATAAGTCCATCAACTAACATTATTTTGGTGGAAGAGTAAAACGTAAACTAGTCACAACCTTTCAAAAAGAAGAATTGTGCGATACTGTCTTGATAATAAGACATGATCTTAAAAAGTTAAGATCATATACCTTAGATGTGAAACATTCATCCCAAAATGTGTACTTTACACCTCTAAGTTCCCCCGTCCGACAAAGGTCGTCAATGAGAAACTTAACTTGCACAGCCTGATAAAGAACAAAAAAATGTTGATTTCAAACCGCGCTAATAGAGCAGACCTAATCATTATCAAAGTGAAAACATACATCTCGACTCATCTTCTGTCTATCAAACGGATAGCCGAAAACAAAGGCCCCCAAGGAAAGTTCAGAAACCTGCAGACAAAAAAGGAAAAATAAGAGTTATTTGAAGGGAGAAGGGAGGATGAAATTTTGCATTTTGCAGAAGTACATTATTCACTATTATTATCGAAAGCAAGTTTTACTGTCATCCAAATATGATGAATGTACAATGTACATCCAAGTAACTTAGAACTCACAGAGTTTAGGTTTCTTTGTAGTACCGTGATGGTCAAAGGTGGAGAAAAGAGAGAAGCTGAATGGAAGAGAGCTGGGTTCATAACAAATGGACTTCTGCAAAACAATTATTAAGAAAATAGAATCTTTTATATGTAACTGTGCGTGTAGATTGACTAATCGATTTGGGTCTTTGAATTAGGTTAAAGTGGCAGAAGGCAAGCAACAAAACACTTTAACCACTTAATGAACCAAATTGCTAGATATAGTAAGTTAACCATATAATATTATGATAAGTTTACAAAAGAATCTGAGGAACCTATTAAGTAACAATATAGTCACATCAGTCTACATGGCAAAACGTGTATTATTCTTATGTTCATATACAGCTGGGGATTTCGTTGCAAGTCTCTCATTATTATTAAGCCATCATTTAACAATCCATTTTTAGGCAAATCAAAAGCAAATTTAACTTAGGACATGTAAAGTATAATCTTGCAAGATGGTTAACCTTACCAGACTCTGGAAATCTTTGGCCATCAAGTCGATATTTGTTTTCTTGCGGACGAGAACACTGCATGTACCCAACATTAATGTCATTTTTTTCTAACACAATGCTGTCATAAAACTGAGCATGACGTGACCAGAATTTTAGAAGTTTCAGAGAAGCTACATTACGCGAGAGGTGATGCAACTTTATTGGTTGAATCCGAAACAGCAAGACCAACATACTTATCGCCCACATCCAATCCAAGAAAACGACTACTTGCAAGTGTATTTGACTTGAGCAATTCTTGAAATAAGTTGTATGGCTTCATGTACTTCATCTGCCATAGAACCAACCAATCAGCTAATTTGTGAAACACTTACTTCAAATTCAAAGAAATTTTGTTTCCTATTGGAGGTATGATGCATCAAACCAGAACCAGTTAGCATGGCAAGATTTTAACACCTTCACTTGGGAATTTTTTTCTCTTGAAGGATAACCTTATCAACTTACCCATAAACAGATCAAAGGCACTCACAAAAAGGAGAGAATCCAGGATATAAACGCAGTGCGCTTACAATTCTACTGTGATAGCAACCAAAAGTAATCATGCCACGATAAAAAGATCGAGCAAAAAGTACTCATTTTCAATACATATCCACAAATTAATGAAAAATAATCAGAGCACATTGCACAAATATAAACACCGGCAGTACAATTATCCTTGACGAGCTTTTGGTTTTAAAATCTATAGGGAATAAACAGTTACAGGCCTAAACACAAAGAAGTTGTCATCTTTGGTAAAATTCAAAAGAACATCCATTCAGATGGTTTAAAGTGTGTAAGTTGTCCTACTTTACCACATCCCAAAAATCAATACATATTCAACGGGCGGGACTTCTCTTTGGCTCAACAAATAAAAAGACACTCACTTTCCACATCCAACATCACGTTCTTCGTCATTAAAGTATTCAGATGAGCTGAAAGAGGCAGCATACAGCCAATATCAATCTTTTTTAATTGTTTAGTTAAAATATAGCCTTTGACCTTAAATTACATAGGATACATTTTATTGTGCAAAGGATCAAAACTTGTCCCAAAACTCTATTTTCAAAGCTTATCCACACGAATCAAAAGTTGTCCCAAGACCTCAGTTTCAAATTCACCCAAGTCCAGGAAAAAAATCAGCAGTCGCGGAAAATGAGAGAAAAAAAAAAAGAAGTATGGGAAACAAGGAATAGAGACTGAATAAGTGTAGTAGTGGCCGAAAATAAGGTCTCAACCCACTCTTCATACTTACATTGATGAGCAAATGTGCTACGCTGATACACAACAGCCATTTAAGTACAAAATCAAACGGCCCTTAAACTCGATTGGAGGAAGAAAAGGGAATAAATTGAGATACTTCATCAACCTTAAATCAAAAATATAAGGGGAGAAACTGAGAAATCCTATATGGATATTGGTGTCATGAAACTACGAAGCTACGAAATTGAAATATATTTACCAATTGCTAACATAAAAAAGGAGTAAGAAGAAGACCTTTTCCGGCGACGGCGACGGAGACACGGAGAGAGTCGACGTGGAGGTGGAGATTGGTCGGTTGGACTCGCGGTCTGCCGAAGAGCTTCGAGCAGTGGCAAACTGGTGATTTTGAGGAAAGGGTTTTTCTGTTGTTTCTTCGTAGAGACAATAGTAAAGACTGAAAAACTAATTAAACATTGATTAGGATTTGTTGTTTAATAATAAAAAAAATTAATTTTAAAAAAGACTTTTTTGGGGGTTAAATGTAAGACTTTTTTCTAAAACAATGTCGGAGTCGTTTGGTACGCGAACCAAAATTATCCCGGAATTATAGTCCTAAGATTATAATCCCTAATTTTATCCCAACTAGGAGGTGAGATAAAATAATTCCAAATTTAATGGGATAAGGTGTGATATCCAAGATTAAGTTTGGGACAAAGTTTATACTTGTATATGCGTAAAACCGGGGCTAGTGAGCACCCCGATTTCCCAGTTACGCAAACGAAGCAAAGACATGACTGCAAGGAAGCGGAATCGAAGCCAGAAGCCTTTCGTATCATGGCCCGAGCAAAACACCTGCCCTGGAGCCATCAAGAGCACGTCCCCATGTCCGGTTCGAGATCCAAGACCTCGGAGAACATTACCATACGACACGATTAACAAAGGGTCGTGATATCCGCGTCCAACCGGATATCACGGCGTGAATCTCGGCCCGTATCAGTAGCAGATCAGTGATTAGCAAAAAGGAAGATTTTTACCTTTCTTAGAATTGTACTTAGGGTAAAATTCCCTTACTATACAAAGGGGAAGCTGATTATTCAATAGCGACACTGTAGCACGCATACCAAGGCAATATATATTTATTTTTCTCTGTTTCTAAAAGTTGTTGTTTTGGTTCATAAGTTCTTCATAAGCATTGGTTCGAAACCAAAGGCGAGCTTCTTGTTAAGCCTTTAACCGAGCCCGGGCTCACTATCATCACGGGGTTTAGTAGTTTGTTCTGTTCTGTATTTGCTTATCTTACGTTATTAATCACCTGTATTGAATTAGTCTATATATCCTTAAAACCGCGTATTGTTACCCATTTTTAAGGGTAAACAGTTGTTTGGCGCCCACCGAGTGGCTAAGGATAATAGTGGTAATTTAATACAAATTTTCATAACATACTCTCTTTTTACACTTGTTCGTTGAGATTTTAATTTCAGGTCAACTTAAGAATGTCAAACTCTCAATCTGCTCACTTGAATGTTTATGCTGAATCTGGCCACTATGGCAAAAACAAGCAGGCAAGCAGACATTCAATATACTCTTTACATACGAAGCATTCGGAAGCTAAATGCACATAACGTTTAGATGAAAAGAGTGGGTGATCAATGATTCATTTAGCTTTTCTCGGCACTATTTTCCTTCATATGATTAACATTAGCTCAACTAATATAATACACTGAATAAACAATCGTAAAGAATAACAACCAAAGGGAACCAAGGTGGAACATAGAGGAGAGGGGTATAGGCATTTTGACCAATATGTCAACTTAAATATAAAAAGGAAAAGAAAAGAAAAGAAAATTATGGAAGAGAGTTAATTGTACACTATACTGCATGTATAAACCAACTCTGTTAAATCTTTGGAAAATGAAAGGCTTGGGTAAAAGGAATGCCTAAGGAACATAATTCACAAACCCGAGCTCTCTGGACGGTTAGCCAAATGGGTTATAAAAATTAGCGGGTGCGATTTCGAATATCGACCCTGAATTGCTATCAAATCACAAATTTTAGCAAACTTCGTGGCTGACTTTATGCTGGCCTTAATACCCAAAGTCGAAAAGGAATTGTTGTTAACCTCGGGGACTTCCTCGGGGGTCTGGACCCTCTTTACGAACGGTGCCTCGAAAGCAAAAGGGTACGAACTCGGCATCGTGTTGAAGCTGCCTACGGGTAATGTAGTTAGGCGGTCTATTAGAACTGTGAAATTGACTAACAATGAGGCTGAGTGTGAGGCCATGAATGCAGGTCTCGAATTGGCTAGAAACCTTATGGATGAGGTGGTCGAAGCCAAGTGCGACTCCCTCTTTGTGGTAAATCAAGTTAATGGGACGTTCGAAATAAATGGGGAACGAATGTGAAGGTATTTATACAAATTTCAGGCAACAATGCATCAGTTCTAGGAGTGGACCCTATAGCACATACCCGGATATCAAAATAGCGAGGCTAGTTGGGGTCATCGGTTGATGATGATAATTTTAGGTCAGGAACGATCGTACAACTCATGAAATCGGTAGTGGAGGAAGGCCATGCCGAAATAAACTTAACACGTTTAACTTGGGATTGGAGAAACAAATACACAGACTATTTGAAGATTGGGAAGTGACCCTCGGATCCTAAAGAATTGAGAACTTTACGCACGAAGGCAACCCGGTTCAGCCTGTAAGGTACTCTATTTAGAAGAACATTTGACAGCCTACTCGCCATATGCTGAGGGGCGAGAAATACTGAATACGTCTTGAGAGAAGCTTATGAAGGCACCTGCGGAAACCATTCGGGGGCAGAATCTTTGGTTTGTAAAATAATCAGCGCCGGCTATTACTGGATCGACATGGATAAAGATGCAAAGGACTTTGTACGAAGATGTGACGGCTGCCAAAGACACGCACTGATGATCAATCTACCCGAAAAACTACTTCATTCGGTCTTGTCCCCATGTCCGTTCATGAAATGGAGAATGGATATTGTCGGTCCCCTGATGTCGGCACCTGGTAAAGAGCAATTCATACTATTTATGACCGATTATTTCTCTAAAAGGGTTGAAGCTCAAGCGTTCAAGAAAGTCCGGGAAAAGAAGTCATTGTCTTCATTTGGGGCCACATAATATGCCGGTTCAGGACGCCTACCGAGATCGTGTGTGATAATGGGAAGCAATTCATCGGCAGCAAGGTAAACAAGTTTTTCGAAGACCACAAAATTAAAAAGAGGTTGACCGATGCCAAAGGGAAATAAAAGGAAATTCTGCCCCAAGTCTTGTAGGCGTACCATACAACTTTGAAATCTAGTACCGAGGTCACCCCATTTTCATAGGTCTACGGTGCCGAAGCACTAAAACTGGGCAAAGTGGGAGAGCCGAGCCTCAGGTTCCGATATACGACCAAAGAATCAAACAGTGAGGCCATGAGTACGAACCTGGAACTATTGGATGAAAGACGAGAGTCTGCCCTAGTCCAGTTGGCTGCCCAGAAATAGCAGATAGAAAGATATTACAACCGAAGAGCTAACCTCCGACACTTGAAGATCGGGGACTTGGTGTTAAGAAAGGTAACACAGCATACACAAAACCCGAACAAGGGAAAGTTGGAACCGAATTGGGAAGGACTATATCGGGTCGTCAGAATTACCGGCAAGGGCTCGTACAAACTCTAAACGGAAAACGATGCACCATTACCAAACAATTGGAACATGATGTACTTAAAACAATACTACTGCTAAGGTACGATCCCATTTAACTTTTATAATATTATAAATCAGATCGATACTTGCAGGTAACTGCCAGAGGAGAATGCAACTATTAAGTCTGAAAGCACGCGTTGCACTCTGTTTCCCTTGAACCGATTTTGTCCCAAATGCATTTTCTGACAAGGTTTTTAACGAGGCAACAGTAAATCGTGTTAACTTAGATTCGAAGATCGGTTTTAAATCAGAGTCAATGGTTGCATCAACAGTATCTGATTCCTCTCAAGATCGACCTCGAATATTGTGGGCCATCACCCTCGGGTTAGACTTCTTAGCAAGGAAAGAAGGAAACTTCATACTTGAACAACTTAGGCCCCGTAGTTAGGATTTATTGTAAGGGATAAACCTTGCCCGCGTAGGCCACCTTATCCATAATACAAGTTTTTACACACTTTCGATCATGTACTTTACACACAGAAATGAAAGAAAGTTCCAACCTTGTTATTACATATTTTTGCCTTTCAAATTATCGAGCCTAAGGGCTATCCCTATTCAGGAACTATCAAGCCCAAGGGCTACCCCTACCTAAGCCTAAGGATATCCCTATTCAGGGACTATCGATCCCAAGGGCTACCCCTATCCGAACCTAAGGGCTATCCCTATTCGGGGACTATCGAGCCCAAGAGCTACCCCCACTCGGAAACTGTTGTCCGAAATTAGTTCGGGCAACTCGGGCTACAAAATCCCGGAGGCACAAAACCTATTAGGTAGTGACTAAACTTAAAAGGCTATGGCCACCCTAAGAAATAGTTCGGAGACGTCCGGAGCCCGTAATCAAAACATAAGGTCTTCAATAAAAATTCAAAACCTGTCAAAAGTTTACTCTCGGCAAAAGCATCGTCTAAAATCACTTAAGCATCTTAGGAAAACTTTCGGTCACTCCGAGTTATCAATGCTTCGAGCAAATAAAAATTGTATTGAGGTCAGGCTCTATTCGGACCTTCAAAAAACAAACAACTTATTACTACATTTGATTCTATGCTAAGGCATTAGAAATATTTGCAAGAATAGAAATTATGAAAAGATACTAAAAACGTAGAGACTCGAAATTGCCAAAAAGGGAAATTTTATATATTCCGGAATGTCTTTACAAAGGCCCAACAAAAATGGCCTCAAAATAAATAAAAATATATACACAACACAATAACAAAAAACAATCTAAGACATTCATGCCTGATCTTCATCGGGGCCTGATTCGGCACCAGAATCGTTAGAGCCTTCGGATTCCTCGGAACCTTCAGAGTCCTCTGCACCCTCGGTCTCAGAAAGTTTCTTTGCCTCAACCTCAAGCTTCTTAGCCTCCTCTATCTCGGACAACAGGTCGAAGCCTCGAGCATGGATCTCTTTGAGGGTCTCCCTTCGGGATAGCCGCCTTATATATTCAGCATTGGTCTTTAAGCAGGCCTCAGCTGCTTCGACATCGGCCTTATACTGGGCCACCATCTCTTCGACATCGGCTGAAGTCGTGTCCAACTTGGACTTTATTGCCTCATATTCCTTACCAAGGGCGTCCCGTTCCGAGCTCAGTTCTGCTCGGAGTTCATTATTTAGTTGGGATCGCTTGTCGGCTTCCTCCTTCGCTACCCAAAGTTGAACCTCTACCGATGTCAGCTTTGCCTGGGTGATTTCCTTCTCCGAAGACACCCGGTCCATTTTGCTCTTCCAACCATCGGCCATGGATTGGACCTTGTTCATTTCAACGCGGAGTTGGCCGATCAGGTCGATCTTCTGCTGGACCTATGAGGTTTGATCGTTAGTAGCCATGAATAATTCCTCGTTCCTAACTTCAAAAACCTTTATCTTTTCGACCAGGTCGTCATGCTCCCGCCTCAGGGCCGAATCTTCTTTCTAAGCTTTGTCTAGCTCGCCCTAGAGATCCTTGATGGCCTCATCTTGTTGCTCGCTAAGGAGCTCGTACATGTCCTTTTTTGGGGCCTGCTCCTTGACCTCGAGTTGATTTACCCTGACCCGATACCAGAGAAAGATCTCATAGTGAAGTACCAAGGCCTGCGAAATAATGAAAGACGTAAGAGATATCAAAACCTAAGTAAAATTCAAAAAGGGCGTAATGATGCCTTACCCAGTTTAGCGCCTGTTGTGCCTTATTTAAAAGGCACGACACATTCACCTCGTTCATTTTTGCCGGGTCTTCCTCGGTCACCAGGCATCGGAGGTAGCTGGATATCCCCACGGGAGCATACAGAACCCAGGCATCCTTCGGGAAGGTAAGAATAATCGATCTCTTGCGATCGAGGTCCACACTCGGAGCGGGAACCTATTGATCAATTTCAAGCTCGAACTCGGCCCGCAGGCTTCCAAGAATGTGTTCTTCTTCAAATGTTCTAGGTCGTTGAGCCCGAAAAAATCTTCCAAAGTGGACGGGTCCATACCATCAAAAAAGGAATGAAGGAGATCGCACGCGCCATGGACCCCTTCATTGGACTTCTCCTTTCCTACTTGGGCCTCCTCGAGCATGGACTCGTGTAAGAGGGTGTCCCCATAATTTCTATTACATCGGGCACTTCCTTCGGAGCAAAGCCGGCATCCCGAGGGGTTTCATCCCTCGTCTCCACATCAATCTCGTGAGTCTGAGGGAGTTCGGCCTCACAAATCTCCCCCTCGGATGCCGCCTTCTCCCTAAGAGGGGTCGATCTCTGGGCAATAAAAATGTCATCTTCTTCGGACTTGTCCCTGAGCCGAAGAAGTGAATCAGAATCCAGTACCCAAGAAATGGACCTCTTCTTGGGCTTATGAGTCACTCTTTTCTTTGGCTTCACCAAGGGGCTCGGGGAGCCCGAAGCCCTTCTTTTCTTCTTCTTCTTCTTCTTTTCCCCTACGACAACCCCGGGATGTCTCGTAATTGAGGGATCAATAGACAAGGACACGTCCTCATCCCCTTTTAAAGGCCTAAGTTCGGTGGTCTTAGGCAAACCTACAAAAAAGGGGAAGAAAAATGAGAATGATGAAAGTTAGAGAATGGTGTTAACTATTCATAGAAAGACTTTACCATGAGAACGGGCCTCCCATCAGCCTTTCAAAAGCTTGCACCATCCGCGCTCGAAGTACGTCATCTGTGTGCAGATGCCCTCGATCTACTCCTTTAGCCAAGGGATCACATTTGGAACACGGGAAACGGCTGCATAACCACAAGTATGAATGCGAAGAAAGAAAATGAAGAAAAAATTGACGCTTAAGGAGAGACTGCAGTTACGAGATGCATTCCATTTCTCAGGGAATGGCATGAACTTGGGAGGGATCAAGTCTTCGGTCTTCACCCATATGAAGCATCCCTGCTATCCCCGTTNATTTGGGGGCTGTATAGATGATCAATGGTGAACTGACGAGACTCGATCTTATTCACAAAGTAACAGAGGAGGATCACGATCCTCCATAGAGAAAGGTGGATTTTCCCTAGGCACACCTCGTACCTCTTGCAAAAATCCAAAACAATCGGGTCTACCGGGCCCAGTGTAAAGGGGTAAGTGTAAACACTTAAGTACTCCTCCACATGGGTAGTAATGGCATCCTTAGGCCCGGAGACTACTACATCCTTATCTTCCCAATTATAGTCCTTTCGGACTATGGGAAGGACGCCTTCGGTCAAGGAGCATATGTACCTTGATGCTCCTTCACCCTAGTCCAGTTTGTGTGAGGGCTTCTTGACCTTAAGTCGTCTGCAATCGAGCATCCCTCGGGATTAAACATTTTTAAGGGAGGCTTAGGGGCCGGTTCGTCGGTAGCCACCTCGGGAACAACCATTTCAAGGGCAACTACTTTAGGAGTAGCCACCTCAGTATCGGCGGTCGGTTGGGAAGATGAAGCGGCAACTTGTTGAGGAATAGATTTAGATGTTTTAGCCATTATTACCTGGAGAAATTTGAAAATTTAAAGAAAGAATACAAAGATTTGAAAAAACAAGTTGGAAGGATGAAGAACAGAGTATGAAGATTTGAAGGAAATCTGGATAAAACCTAAGAACAACTATGAGAAACTGATGATCAATGATGAAGATATGAAGGTTTGAAGAAGGTTGATAATAGCTAAGAAATTCGGAGGCAGAAACTTGTTCGGAAAGTGGGAAAGGAATAGGGGATGGACGCTTTTATAGGGAAGAAGGTGACGTTTCGCATTCAGAGGCAATCAATCGATGATTGACACGTGTTCGAAGTCAGAATGACGCGACTGATAGGACATTTCGACTTCTTCATCATAATGTACGGAGGAAGGAGCCGGAGAACATCTATCGTTACCCATCATTTCGACAATCCTACTCTCTAAGAAATGAGGGGACAATTGTATACGGGTAAAATTGGGGCTAATGAGCAGCTCAATTTTCCGGTTAGGCAAACGAAGCAAGGACATAACTACAAGGAAGCAGAATCGAAGCCAGGAGCCTCTCGTATCAAGGCCCGAGCAAAACACCTGCCTTCGGAGCCATCAAGAACACGCCACCCGGGTTTGGTTCGAGTTCCAAGACCTCGGAGAACATTACCAAATGACCGCGCATGATTAACAAAGGGTCGTGATATCCGTGTCCAACCGGATATCATGGCATGAATCTCGGCTCGTATCAGCAGCAGATTAGTGATTAGCAAAAAGGAAGATTTTTATCTTTCTTAGAATTATACTTAAGGTAAAACTCCTCTGCTATATAAAGAGGAAGCTGACTATTCAATAGCGACACTGTAGCACGCATGCCAAGGCAATATATATCTTTTTTTTTTGCTTCTAAAAGTTATTATTTTGGTTCATAAGTTCTTCATAAGCATTGGTTCGGAACCAAAAGCGAGCTTCTTGTTAAGACTTTAACCGAGCACGAGCGCACTATCATCTCTAGGTTTGGTAGTTTGTTCTATTCTTTATTTGCTTATCTTACGTCATTAATCACTTGTATTGAATTTGTCCACATATCCTTAAAATCGCGTATAAATTCAATTGTTATCCATTTTTAAGGGTAAACAATATTATGTTTGGTTTGTGGTATAAAATTATCCCGTAAATTTAGTACCACACTTTATCCCACCTTATTCCGCGTACCAAACGACTAAGGGTGTACATGGCATAAGGATAATAATCCACGCAGCCGTAGATCGAGCTCTGGAAGTCCTCTCCTCGCGGCTCCCTACGTTGATATTTGAGGAAGTTGCTCTCGACACGAAGGTTATTAAAAGTGCGAGACAGTTCGGTTCTCTAGACCCATTTATTGCTCGCAGACGAAGAGTTGGTTGGCAGCTCAAACCTTAGCCCCGAGGGCAGTGGCGTACGCAGGATTTTTTGCAAGCAGTGTCATTACTTAAGAAACAAATCGCTAAAACGACATAAAAAAAATTGAGAAGAGTAACACCAGTAAATCCGGTCACTCAGAAGTTGTATATTGTATAAAAATTAGAGTAATTTTTTTTCAAAATTATAGTAATAAATCCTTTTAATTTATACTAAACTAATTGCATGTTATATTTGTTTATTTATTTATCACTTTAGTTAATGTTTTTAGCTTAGAGGATAGAGAGTTCAATCCTTACATAATCTAATTTTAAACTAAAAATGCTTTAAAAATGTGCAAAAACTTTAAGTGTGTTTCGATCCCCCGGTCTTCAGGTGCAAAAAGGGGCGCTGCCCATCAGACCNGCAAAAACTTTGAGTGTGTTTCGATCCCCCGGTCTTTAGGTGCAAAAAGGTGCGCTGCCCATCAGACCAGGCAAACTAGTTTATCAAATATCGTTATTTAATTAGCATAGTTCTTTTGCTACACTATATATATTTAGTAAAAAATTTCGACGAAGCGGTGCCGGATGACACCGCTCCGACTAGCATGCATCCGCCCCTGCCCGAGGGATGTGTTAGATAATCCCATGGGATATCGGGTCGTTGTACCAAACGACCCCTAAGCGATGTGCACAGATAGCCGATTTCAAGACCCACATTTACGCCATAGTCGCGGTTCTTAAATTTTTACAAGTTTAGCCGTTACAGACGTGCAAGTCTAAAGTTCAAACATACATGTTCGAAGTTTGGCTTGCCAAACCCTAGCAGACATTTTTGCAGGCATTTATGTGTGGAGTTCAAGCATCCGAGTCTCGCAAATATTCTTCCACTAGTACGAAGTACAAATTATCAAAGAAATTGTATCAATTAGTCATTTTATTAACAGGTTATTACGGTCAATCAGGCAGCATAAGTGCTTAGTAAAACATCAAAGAGACTTGCTTAATGAAGTGTAAAATTATGAAAGGTGATTCACCTCATTAACAAACACTTTATTGACTTATGATATAGTGCTTTTCCAGAAGTACTACCATGAATACTAATTACAGAGGAATATAAGTTACATACTATGTTTTTTTAAAAGGAAAAATTTGGATCATTTCTCGATTTGTGCATGTCATCCTTGGACAAGGCCATGTTATTCTTGTATAATTCCAATTTTCATGTTAATGAAACATGTTTTTCCCAGATGTGTAGGATACATCAAATAATGAACGAGGACCTTTACATTTACTGTAATAAACACCTTCTCTTCAATACAACAGACTATCTACCTGATAATTTTTACCTCCAATTTATACATCACTTCATTGTCTACTCAAATCGGTGGAAAACAAAAGTGTCAATGAGCATCTGCAGTGAAGTCCTAACGTAACTCCGGATAACACTTGATTTTAATACATTATGATACCAAAATTTCCACTTGCTACAAAACTTATCTCAAGCCTCCTTTGCGCGACTCATGTATTGTCCGTTTCTAGTATCCACCAAAATTTCCTCTCCCCTTCCTATGAATAACGGAACATTAATAACTGCACCGGTGTCAACGGTTGCTGGCTTTGATCCACCTGCCACATAATACAAATCATATTCACAAGCTCGCAGAAGAACAAAAAGAAAAGGAGTAATTTACTTTAGACAATTGCCCATCAAATATATATTTGGCGTCATAGTAGCCATTCAGAAGATTGAACGGAAGCCTTTGGCGTAACCGGTAAAGTTGTTGCCATGTGACCAGGTCACGGGTTCGAGTCGTGAAAACAGCCTATTGCAGAAATGCAGGGTAAGACTGCGTACAATAGACCCTTGTGGTTCGGCCCTTCCCGAATCCCGCGCATAACGGGAGCTTAGTGCACCGGGCTGCCCTTTTTTAGTAGTATTCAGATGACCGTCAAGAATTTCAGAGGTTGACACTAAGATGGACCAAAAGACATGGATAATTATAATGCTATAGCCCTATTACAATTGAATCATAGGCACATCGGAATCAGTTGCCCACATACACCTTGAATGCGAGTCAATATTCAATTTTTACATTTGACAATACTTCTCGCAACAACATTTTCTATTTAACTGGAAATATTCTGGATAAACTATAACAAAAGAAGGAAATGGGATGTCATCCATGATTTCTACAAACAGAAGAGGGACGGGCATGATAGGAAGATGAAGAAGGGGACTTCAGAGTAAAACTTGGCTCCCCAATCCCAACCCAACTTAAGGCAATGGGGAAAAAAAAGGCAAAGCTGACACGTTTTGGGGGGACCAAGGTAGACACATTAAGAATATATCCAAAAAAATAAAATTAACTTTCACAAGATTATAGAGCACTATAGCTATACTCTTCTGTTATAGTTCAAAGACCTGAAGTGTTTACACCTCCAAAATCCCCACATAGACATTAGTCTCCCAGTTCAATTGTTCAAGCTATAACTGTGCTGCAGTCCCAGACAAGTTCGGGTCGGCTATATGAATCCTCACTGACCATGTTTCTCCATTTAAGCTCAATCTAGAAAAGAAGAAATGACTACCTTGTGCAGTGTCACCTTTGAGACCTGGATCAACATCCACCACTGTCAACTTCACTGTTATAGGCAATTCAAAGTCGATCACCTATGGAAATATTAACCTTAGTATATTGATTACCGTTAAAAAAAGATACGAAAGTACTAGCTTCGCTATAGAGTTAATCAGAGATTCTCGATTGACACTTTCAAAGGAGAAAATCAGAACTGCAAACACTGAAAATAAGTTCAGCATTGGAAAATACCTTTCCATTCCAGAAAAGCAAACTGCAGTCCATGCCCTCTTTTAGAAACTTTGCTTTATCTCCAACATCTTTTTCATTTAGACGATATTCTTCATAACTGGTCTGCAATAAAAATTGCCCCAAAGTTATCATAGTTTATATAGTGTATACATATAAGGGGGACAAAGATAACCAAATTCTAATTCATCCTTCCTAGAAGTGGGTATGGACCAAGGGGCAATGGAGGGAACTTGATCCACACAAGTAATCTAACCAATTAAGACATTATTTTTGCTCATTAACGTGACCAATTAAGACATTAGTAAGCAACATTGAACCTTTTCCTTTGTATTTTTATAGGTATTTCATTCATATGCACCAAGAAGGTACCGATATTTACAGCAAAAAGAACTTTCAGATCCCTTTAAACATGTAGTGAGACAACGAAGTTAAAAAAATATTTACATCGTTTTCCTGTTTCAGATTACACCAAGCACACAAAAGATGTAGAACTCCAAATTTTTGGAAATGCACACTCTACTTCTATTCTCAAATATCTGAATAAACCACTTTTACCTGTCTGACTAGCACTGCTAAATCGGAATAAGAAAGGGCAGAGCACACAACTTAAGGGACTTGTAAGGTGCAACTATAGATCAGATATTTAGAACTTCACCAAAACCAAATAAATTAGCCCAACCTTGATGCTCACTCTCATACGTGCTAAAGCTCCTCGAATTTGGGTCTAGGTTTTATGTGCCAAAAGGATCAGACGAAAGACATAATCTCCAGAATATTATACTGCCTAAATATTAACAAGGGATAAAAGTAGTATCTTGCATTTCAAAGGGTAACAGTAGGAAAAAGAGAGTTGCTGCTAGAGTTGGGCATAATCCCTCAAATAACCAAACCCATTGACGTGTGGCCAGGTTTATGCTTGTTCTTTTTCTTTCTTGTTTTTTACTTTATTTTCTTTTGTTTTGGAGGGAGGGAGAATGACAGCGGAGGGTCACTTTTATGGATTGGGATTTGGGAGATCTATAAAAGTAGCCTGCATAAGCTGCATGCTAGTGAAGGCTGCAAGAACAAAACTAGCACATTGGACCACTCTATTAAAAGTTACTGTACTAACCAGATCCATGAAGACAAACTGGGCACCATCTTTGTAAGTGAATTGCTTTGTTTCCTTGTAGATATTTGCCTCTTCTATCTGCAGAGATAGTTGAATGTCAACTGAAATTTAAAATCACATAGGCAGTGTCGAGTTGGTTGGAAAAAAAAACTGACATCAAAGTTGCAGGTCCATTATCAAAGTAATAATAAATCTGAGAGTATTTCAGTAGATTGAAATGTATATTATGTTCCAAAACAGGAACAAAAGGAACTTCCACACTGCCTTCGACAGATTTATTGCCCGGCGAAAGTCAAACAACAAGATTAGAGATGTTGTTCCGATTAAAAAGGAACTTATACCACAAAGTTATGCAAAAGAATGGCTCAAGCTACATAACAAGTTCTTATATAGTATAGATGACATGCATATGGTGTGAACTTAGCAATAAATCCATTGGAAGCAAATAACACAGACAGAGTAAGAGAATAAGCATTGAAGAGCAGGTGGTTCTGAAGATATTACCTTACTTCCAGCTCGGAAAGTTTTCTCAACGGTGTTCCCTGTTACATAATTGCGCAATGTGGTCCTCACAAATGCAGCCCCTTTCCCAGGCTTTACATGAAGAAACTCTAAACACACCCAAATAATAAATATTATCAAACAGTAAAAGAATCAACCAAATTTTAGGTGTACTCAATACCAAACTATTCCATATATATTCATATTCAATAAATCAACTGTTTTTGAATTCTGCTTTATAAACTACAAGCAAAATCACAGTCAAATATACATGGAAACAAAGGTTTGAGTTTATCACAGCACCAAAAAATATCTTGGTAACCTATATAGAAATCTGAACAGCAAAACAAACAGTTTATAACAGCTAGCATACTCTAGAGTCTGAGTGGACCAATAATGCTCAAAGCAAATTTTAGCATAATCCATACATTCATTATTTTATTGTAATCATGAAACCTTACACTTCACTCGGGAATCCTTTAGTCTAGCTCTAGTCAGAGGCGGACCTGTGTAGTAACTAGAGGGGTCACTGGCACCCTGAGAGTTTGGCAAAAATTCTGTGTATACATGTACGTCTTTAAAAAATCGTGATATATTAGTAGTGGCACCCAATATACAAAGCATAGTTTGGTTGAATGTAAAAGTGCACCCACAACCTTCAAATCCTGGGTGTGCCTCTGGCTCTAGTTTGTGGAATTTCAGTAGTAACTAATAATCCTGTTTTTCGGGGCCGGTAGGATAAAATATGGTTGTCAATTACACATGGTTATAAAATTTCAAAAACTATTGAAAATAGTAACTTCCAGAATTGTAAAAAGTATAGAACTTTTACTTCTTTGAACCTAGTTACTTAACTGTCTAAAGCCTGAATTTTAACAAATTAGTTAGACAAATTACTAGAGCTGGTTCACAACCCCTTTCCTTTACTTTACTAGAGAAAAACACAAATATATGCTTAGCATAATCAAGCCAATAAAAAGGTGAAAATAAAATGAGCAACAATGTACTATGAGAAGTACATACTAATCAGTCAGAAAAATACGGATAATCTGAAAATGGTAATATTATAATATCGTATGGGACACGAAATAATTTCAAAATTAACAAAAATAATATGAAAAGGGCGGTGGTCATTAATCACCTATAACCTTGCAAGGAGCTCCATCCACTTCAATGTTGCTGCCTACTTTAATATCATTGCTAGAATACGCATATATCTCTGAAAATGACCAACAAAAAAAGAAAATTAAATATAACCCACAAAGTTTTAGAGTAGAAAAAGAAGAACATTGCCACAGTAAGAAGCTTTGGGGGGG